CAGTGCGTTACAATCCTAAGAGAAGCTACATGGCCAAGAGTTCATCTCATCCTTCCAAGGGTTTTACCATTGCTTCTGAAATATCATGGCAGTATTCCACGAATAGCCATCCCAGGTACCTTCTGATATTTACTTTTAATGTGCCATGCCCACAAGAGTTTAATTGTGGAATAAATGAACCGGGCATGGGAGTTTTATCCTAGTAACAACATATGATTTTGTTTAATCATGTGGAACTGTAAACTAAGCTTTGATAGACCTGTGTAAGATTGAAAACCCAAGTTAATGTCAGAAGTTCCGAGAAGAAGAAGGTTCTTTAGCTGCAGCACAAATCCCTGGGAGAGAACGCTGAGAACACAGACCCTGAGCACCTCTTTGAGAAAGGCTTGCTAGCAACTGAAGCCAAGCCACACACAGGTGTCTGATATCAGGGACAGTTAAGAAGAATACGGAAGAGAATCCAATATTTGTTTTTTAAGGGCACAGGCTTCCTTCTCCACAGTGGAAAAAGCCACAGATGAGAAAAGCCTGGTCCCACACTGCTCTGATCAGTCTCTCTGGGGTGCCATCCCTTGGGGAGAAAACTGATGCCAGGTACTCACCAAACCTATTGCACATCCCCTGAAGATGATGAGCCTTGCAAAGACGTCTGGGCTTGTCCAGCATCTATGTAAAGTCATCCAGTTTTGTTCAGTTCTAATGACTTTCTGATTAGAAACATAAACGTGTGTGTGTGCATACACGCAGTGTGATGTATGTGTAATTGACATACATGCAGTTAGTTTTATGTGTTTATTATTTTTTTGTTTTTTTGCGGTACACGGGCCTCTCACTGTTGTGGCCTCTCCCGTTGCGGAGCACAGGCTCCGGACGCTCAGGCTCAGCAGTCATGGCTCACGGGCCCAGCCGCTGAGCGGCAATGTGGGATCCTCCCGGACCGGGGCACGAACCCATGTCCCCTGCATTGGTAGGCGGACTCTCAACTACTGCGCCACCAGGGAAGCCCCAAAAAAAAGAAAGAAATTCTGATATACACAAATGAGTGTCTTGAATGTAATGCATATGTTTTCATTAAACTTGGCTTTTTAGGGCTTCCTTGGTGGCGCAGTGGTTGGGAGTCCACCTGCCGATGCAGGGGACACAGGTTCGTGCCCCGGTCTGGGAGGATCCCACATGCCGCGGAGCAGCTGGGCCCGTGAGCCATGGCCGCTAAGCCTGCGCGTCTGGAGCCTGTGCTCCGCAATGGGAGAGGCCACGACAGTGAGAGGCCCGCGTCCCGCCAAAAAAAAAAAAAAAAAAACTTGGCTTTTTACCATCTAGAATTTACTCCTTCACTTTGAAATTCTTACCTAAAAATTATTTATATCCTTGGAGAATGTTTTTATTCCTTTAGAAATGATTTTTTTTTTTTTTTTTTTTTTTGGCTGCACCTCACGGCTTGCAGGATCTTAGCTCCCTGGCCAGGGATTGAACCCATGCCCCTGCAGTGGAAATGCGGAGTCCTAACCACTGGACCTCCAGGGAAGTCCCCAGAAATGATACACTGATTGCTCTGTGTACATGGTTGGGTTACTGATAAAGAAGGAAGAATTACTACATTCAGATGTGGGTTGGAGGGAAGACAGATCACCTTTTCTATACCTGTTTGTACCAAATTCTGGAAATTATCTTGGTATGAATCCTTACCGCTGCCCTCTGAATTGTGGGGTTATCATTCCCATTTCACACATACTGAGGCCAAGGCTCAGAGGACCCAGGTGACTCATTAAAGGCCACACAGCTTGTGAAGGGCAAGAGCCAAAGTCCAAACCCATGTGTCACAGACCCCCATCCACACCTTGCCAGATGGGGGGTGGGTATAGAAAGTCCTGGAAAAGCTGCGCAAGAAAGGCTTATCTTTGATTGAAGGGATCCAGGGTAGATGGGCTTCATGGTTTTTAACAGGTTGTTGGAGATTATTTGTGATTTCTCCAAGAGCAGCATCCCTCTGAAGTTTGGAAACAAACATCCTATTGTGTGTAATTCACAGCTCTTCACTGTAGATTGCTTTGTAGACAAGGTCTCCTTTCCAAGATTTGAATAAGTCTGTCTATTTTTTTTTTTCTTCTTTTGGCGGTACGCGTGCCTCTCACTGCTGTGGCCTCTCCCGTTGCGGAGCACAGGCTCCGGACGCGCAGGCTCAGCAGCCATGGCTCACGGGCCCAGCCGCTCTGCAGCATGTGGGATCCTCCCGGACCGGGGCATGAACCCACGTCCCCAGCATCGGCAGGCAGACTCTCAACCCCTGCGCCACCAGGGAGGCCCCTAAGTCTGTCTTTTGAGGTGCTCATTTTTAACTTTTCTGTGTATGGTCATTAGCTACTTGAACATTCTTTGTGTCTTCCTCAGTCAGTGTATGAAGCATTGTGATGAAATGTCTTTTGAAAATCAAGAATGGGAGACACTCTGCACCCCAGTGTATTATAAAGTCCTTGTCATGTGGATCAGGACTTCATAATACACTGTGACCAGGACACTGTAATGAGAAGCAGCACTCTGAGCCGGACCACCAAGTTCAAGTTCTCCAATGGGAAAAGAACAGACCAGTGGGGTCTTAGAGGGGTTTAGAGCCAACACAGATACCCACAGTCCAAGTTCAGCTAAGGAAGCAACATCAGTCAATGGCCTTTTCAAACCAGGAGCCCCAGGGCCAGCCCAGACCAGTGAGGAAGCAGATGCTGTCTGTAGGCAAATCCCCAGCACCACTGAGGGAGAGGCTTCCTTGTCCCCAGTGCTAGGCAGGACCTGCTTCTCCCCTCGCCTGAGCTCTTTCTGTGGGGATCAGCCAGCCTTTCCCCAGTAAATTCCACTCACCCCCGAGACGGGTCTACTGGAAATGCAGCCGCCTGACTGGCCTCCCCTAAATTTTCTTTAATCCTTAGGATCCTGAGGCTAAGGATTTTTTTTTTAATTCTTTTTTTAAAAATGAAAATAATATATAAGCCTTTTAAAAGTTAATTCTTTTTTAAAATGAAACTGATACATAAGCTTGGAAAAAGTGAGGAAGAAAGGAAGGAACTTTAAAAATATAGTATAATAGGTTTTAAACCAAATGTGAAAGTCACCTTCACTCCCCGCTTCTGTTTCCCAGATTTAACCAGAGTTGATAGTTTCCTTTGTATCTTTGGAGAAGTTCTATCCATAATATGTGTAAGCCTTTTTAAAATTTATGTGTGATTTTTACTCTTCCATGTCTTACCTTTTTAATTTAATATCTATTACAGATCTTTCCAGAACATCCATACAGATCTACCTCTTTATTTTCTCTTCATTTATTTATTTTATTAGGATTAAATATAAAAATATTTCAGTGAGATATGGGTGTTCTGAACTCTTAAGTGTCTAACAACATAGCTAAAAGTAAGTGAACACCAAACTTGGCAGAATTACTAAGAGAAATCGATCGATCCATAATTAGAGTGATGACCTAACCAGGTCTTTCAGAAACTGATACAGATCAATAGGCCAAAAGCAAAGAATAATGACATAGGAGGTTTGAATCACCTCATTAACAAGTTTGATTGAGTGGAAATATGAGGGACTCTGTATTCAACAGAGTGCACATTCTGTACACACTCTCATGGGATGTTTAGAAAAGTGGGCATATACTTGCTGTAAAGGAAATCTCACTGCTAGTCTTGTGGTTGTAATTTCTGAAGTGGCTTTGTCATTTCCCTCTCTTTCTTTCCTGAGTTAGTTCTACCAGTTCCTATTTCACATCTGCCTATTTTCTGACCATCTAAACTGAATTCCTTTATTTCTGCTTTATGTTCTTCTTTCTTAGCTGTAATTGCTTTGTAAAGACTTTGCTGCTTTCTTTTTAATTCATGATGGAAATGAAATGTGGGGTATAGTTTTCATCTGCTCATGGCAGCATTTTTCAGGTGAAATTTTATCATCCCTCGTGAAGGTGGGCTTCTCTCTTTCATCATTTTTCATATGCTGTCTTTGCAGGATGCTGAGCTTATTCCTCAGCACTATCAGGAATCATGTCCTTTCCCCGCTTTGCTTTTCTCAGTCATGCTTAATAACATCTGATACAGATGGGTGTGCTTCTATAATTTACTTGACAGATTGTCTGACTCACTAGTTTGAAAGGAAGGGTTTGTGTCTCTTTGACTCACAGCTGACCCTGGTAGCTAAATCAGTACCTTATACATAATCAGTACTCGATAAATATTTGTTGAATAAATTAGCACCAAAAAAAAAAAAAACAGATCTGGAATTAAATTGGTCATCTCAAAGCCCATTTATTAAGGTTTTAATACATTGTTACAGGAAGCGTGGAAGCCAGGAATCTGAGGGAGGAGGGAACCCACTGTTTGTCCAAATAATCATCTCCATACTGACTCCTGAGTGCCAGGGGGAATGTGCTTCACATTAAGGCATTGAGCCCCTGCTCTCTAACACACTGCTAGTAGAATATAAAATGCCTCTTCCCCTGTATGGGGAAGGTTTGGCAAGATACACATGCCAGTTGATGTAGCCATTTGGACTCTTAAGAATTTTTCCCATAAAAGTGGTCACACAGTCTGCACGGTCTTGTGTATGGTAAGAAAATCTTAAATAGCTGTCATTTGAGGTTAGCGTTCAGAGCTGGGTCCATACACCTCAGGGGTGCATTTGATGACCCCTTGAAACAGGGCAGAAAAGTCACAACTATTTATATTTATTTTCTAAATAAAAGATCGAAATTCAGCTTCACTAATATTTACAATTAGAATGACTCTACACCATCGCTCAATCAGCAGTTTTGGGTGAGATGGCCAGTTAGACACTGAATTTCCAGGGGAAGGAGGACAGAAGTTCCCACCTCACTTGTTGATTTGTTTTTAACCTATGACTGCTTTTTGCAGTTTCCACGTGTCCAGTTGAGTGGATTTCTAGATTATTCTCTAATTCGATATTATAAAGGCACAAACAGCCTCAGCCGTTTCAGGACATGACCCTCACTCTTCCAGGGACGCCCTGGCGGAAGGAGCAGACGGAGGACCTGCAGCGGGTGCTCAGGACCGTGGACAGCGAGATCCCACTGGTCCTTGTCAGCGGCAACCATGACGTGGGCAATGTCCCCACCCCCGAGACCATCGCGGAGTTCCAGCGGACTTGGGGAGATGACTATTTCAGCTTCTGGGTTGGGGGCGTCCTGTTCCTCATCCTCAACTCCCAGTTCTTATACGATGCCTCCATGTGCCCTGCCTTGAAGCAGGCCCAGGACCAGTGGCTGGACCAGCAGCTGAGCATCGCAGGGCAGCGGAAGTGCCAGCACGCCATCGTCTTCCAGCACATCCCGCTGTTCCTGCAGAGCATCGACGAGGACGACAGCTACTTCAGCCTCACCAGGTTGGTGCGGAAGGAGATGGCGGACAAGTTCTCCCGAGCAGGTAGGCCTGGGGCCCCAGGTGTCTGGGTGATCTGGAGAGGAGGTGTCCAGACCCTTCTGCCCCTCTGTGGCCTGGCAAAGGGGAGAGAGGATGGGGCTTTGGGCAGGACTGGATTCTAATCCCAGCTCTGGCACTCATGGCTGTGTGGCCTTAGATGAGCCGCCTTGCCCGCCGAGCCTCAGCTTCCTCGTCTATAAAGTAGGAGTAGCAGCAGCAGCTGTCTCGTGGGGTGGCTGTGAGGATTCAGTGAGGAGGGGCCTGGACAGGATTAGAACAGCCCCAAGCTGAGTACTGAAGTCATAGCTACTCACACCTGAGGATGGGGACCCTGCAGGTTGGGGGTTATTGCGGGGCTGGGGGGGGGGCTGGGCAGGTCTGGTCTGAGTGTGGCTGTATGTGCCCCAGGCAAAGGAAGACGCCAGGAGTATCTTTTCTCATTTCTCTGGGAAGCAGGAACTTGCCCAAGGGCAGATGATATTTAAGAGCCAAACCCTACCAGTATTAGATGTAACCTGGGAAATCCTGGAACGTGGCTATAGGGCAGGTCCTGGAGCCTCATCAGTGTTCCTTTAGTGAGGTGGACTGAGTTCTCTTCCAGAAGTAAGAGGAGAAATCTGTTCAGTCTGATCTTAACCCTGCTGTGAATTTTAAGCTAATCATACATATGACACATACGTGAGCACACACACACACACACACACACACACACACACACAATGAGGACACTCCATTTCTAGAGATCTCAATTCCGGTGGCGCTGTGTGCACCGCCAGCCCACACACCTCATTTCTCCTCCTGGGAGCACCTGCAGCTTTCCTCTCACAAGAAATGGTGCCTTCTCAGCCGGTTCCCTGCGTTACCACTGCCTTGGCAGGATTCCAATTTTGACGGCTGTTGTGTCTCTTGTTTTGGTCCTAATGCCTCCTTTCAGATCTTTCCAGAGTGTACGTCATCAAACGCCTCTAAAATATAAATACATTCTTTTATTTGTTATGGGGTAGGGAGAAGGGAGGGGCCCCGACCCAATAAGTAGCAAGCATTCATTAAAAAAAAAATCCTGGCACTCTTTTCACCTTTGAGCATTAAATGTGTTCACATTTACTTGTGAAAAGTACAATAGGCCCTTCTGTATTTTCGAGACATTTTACAAAAAGCTTGCATAATTGGAGACATTTTCCAACTGTTCCATGGAGATGAAGTTGGAAAACTTTTATCAAAGCCTTTGAAATTTTATGCCATGCTTGAGTTGGTGCAGAAAACCAACTTTTTTTTGTTTTTGTTGACAAGGAAATAAAGTGTCAAGATGGCATCAGCACCACCACAGAGACTATTTTGTAACAGAGAATAATGCCAGAGAGAACACTTAGTGCCACTGAAATGATTCCTTTAATATCAAATGTTAAATGATGCAAGTGCCATCCCCATGGCTGCTCTTTGTTGTCAGCCACATCCTTGAGTGGCATGGGGTTCTGGGTTTCCCACTGTAGGACGGAGCACATGCAGTCCAGGAGCAGCCCCAGATACTGAGACCTGGAGACGTTTATAAAGAGGGCGACCCCAGCTCTAACAGCGCATCCTTGGGGGAATCCTGCTGCCCACCCACCAGGAACCCCAGAGGGTGACATCGCATCTGAGATGCACCAGCCACCTCCCCCGTCAGGCCTGTAGCCCTGTAAGCTCAGGGAGGATTTGTCAGCACCCCCAGAGTTGGTCTGTGTCTCGGAGGTGGGCTCCAATTGTCCCAGCTCACAGAGACTGATATCTACCACCAGAATGGCATTTTATTAATTAAAAAAAAATTGTTTTAAACATCTTTATTGGAGTATAATTGCTTTACATTGGTGAGTTAGTTTCTGCTTTATAACAAAGTGAATCAGCTGTGCATATACGTATATCCCCATATCTTCTCCATCTCGCATCTCCCTCCCACCCTCCCTATCCCACCCCTCTAAGTAGTCACCAAGCACCAGGCTGATCTCCCTCTGCTGTGCGGCTGCTTCCCATTAGCTATCTATTTTACATTTTATTAATTTAGAGCAAGGCTGAAATCCTCCCCTTAACCCTAGCAGTGCAGTCTCTTCCCGTAGGCAAAACAGCATGGGAGGCCAAGTTATAATCAGGAGGTTGCTTGCTGAGTATGAGACAGAGCAGAGGGACTAGTTTTCTTATCTGCTCTTTATTTTTCAACAGAAGTATAATTGATTTACAATATTGTATTAGTTTCAAGTATACAACGTAGTGATTCAGTATTTTTGCAGATTATGCTCCATTATAAATTATTACAAGATATTGGGTATAATTCCCTGTGTTGTACAGTATATCCTTGTTACTTATCTATTTTATATATAGTGGTTGGTATCTGTTAATTCCATACCCCTAATTTGTCCCTTCTCCCTTCCCTCTCCCCTTTGATAACCACAAGTTTGTTTTCTATGTCTGTAAGTCTGTTTCTGTTTTGCATATACATTCATTGGTATTATTTTTTAGATTCCACATATAAGTGATATCATAGAGTATTTGTCTTTCTCTGTCTGACTTATGTCACTGGGCATAATAGTCTTTAGATCCGTCCGTGTTGCTGCAGATGGCAATATTCCTTCTTTTTTATGGCTGAGTAATATTCCTGTGTGTGTGTGTGTGTGTGTGTGTGTGTGTGTGTGTGTGTGTATCACATCTTCTTAATCCAGTTGTCTATTGATGGGCACTTGAGTTGCTTCCATGTCTTGGCTACTGTAAATAATCTTATCAGCTCTTAATGGCCTCTGGTGCTGGAGCTCTGCCTCTCCAGTAGGGCCTCCTTGCCCAGGAGGATTGATACTTCATGTGCCTTTAATTCTACCTCTCTAATAGCTCTCCAGCCTGTCCACTTCTTTAGGCCACCATTGCCTCTCAGCTGGGTGGTAGCAACAGTTTTGACTTGGTCCCCCAGCCCCAGTCTTGCCCCATTCTGGTCCATTCTCCACTACATCCAGAGGAGTATGTGGCCCAACAGCATCTACCCTTCTGAGGCCCCTTCATACATAGGATAAGGCTGTCCTCACCCTTTGTCACTGTCTCTGCCTCTTCCATTTCATCTGGCCAACGCCGCCTCAACTTTCTGTATGAGGCGCCCCCAGCCCTGCCCCGCCAGGTTATTCCTCAGCTTCCCTTGCTCCCAGTGCATTTGTAAGTCACCCTGTCTGAAGCCCCCCTAGACTCTCAGCTCCTTGAGTGCAGGGGAGGCCTGGCTCGGGTCTTAGCCTGTAATAAATGCTTCATCAGTGTTTGTGGAATGAGTGAAGGATGAACCTCTGATGCAGGCTCCTTCCCTCGGTGGCCAGCCAGCCCAGCTCATTTCTCTGTTTAGCACCCGCTGTGCACGTGGCACAGAGCAGACCAGGTCCCACTTGGTGGAACTCCCCGGCACAGCCTCTGCGTGGTGTGTTCCCAGTGTCGGGCACACATCATGCAGCCTCCTGGTCCCTCGGTTTTGGGTCAGGCCATGCGTGTGACTCTGCTCTGACCCACATGCTGACTTTCCAGGCTCACCCAGCAGTCAGTTGCTCTCTTCCCAAGTGGCCCCCTGCTGTTCCCATCAGGTACCACCTTCACTTATAGGCAGGTGTGCTCTTCTTGGTCACTGGCCTTAGGATCTTCCCTTAGACCTGATTGACCAGGCAAAAGCAGAGAGAAGAGTGCCCTTCCTGCAGTCACCTGTCAGTTTGAGTGGCTTCCCAAACCAGGCCCTTTGCTTAATGGCCTTTCAAACTCAGAACAAAGCATCGGCAGCGTTGGGAAGATATCGGGATCAGATGCAGTCACAGCTCCGTGGCAGCCTGAGGGGCCAGCTTGGTTTGGGAGCACAGGTAGGTGGGCTGTCGTGGGGAATGCAGGCCCCCACGACTCAGTAATGCCGGAGATCGCTCAGGTCACAGCCATGTAGTTCTTGAACTCATTTTGGAAAGCCAGAAGTTCAGGTGACATTCTGTGAAATTCGTTAACTTAAAGACCATGATCAAATTGGGGGTGATGATGGCAGACGGTATTTAATACTGCCTCCAGCTTTTTTTCCCCACAGCAATATTATTCCCTAATACTATTTCAGTCTCATTTATCTCCTTGTGCTAAAATGCCAGTACTCAAAAATATGTCAAAAGCTTATCAGAATATCAGGGTAGCTTTTAATTATGATAATTGTGTTGTTATAAAATATCCTTTTAAAGAGCACATCCCTCCTCAAACCACCATGGAGGTAACACCCAGCTTCCTTCCAGCAAGCTTAATGAATAATTCTGAATCATTGTGTGGGATGAATAAATGATTTAATAATGAGCATCAACAATCATCTCACATTGTGGCATTAATTTTCTAAACGGGATGAGGTAAATGAGGAGGAGGGCTGTTACTATACAATGGGCCACCGTGTGTGTAGGGATGCGTTCTTTGAATCAAAGCCTCCAGCCTCCGAGCTCAGGTTTCCCTAGAAACAGACGCATTCTGCTTCTCTGTTTGAAGCTCAATAAAAAAACCTTCTCTGTATGATGCGGAAATGTTGTCAATAGCCAGTACAAATAAACAGTTACCGGGGCAGGACACATGCACAGATGTGAAACGGCACAGTTATTTTCCATCTTCTTTGCTCTGCCTGAGGATAATCAATTTCATCACATCCACGGGACGTAGAAATTGGTTTTCCCCTTAATTCACCTGATACCTAGTTGGAGTTGCAAAGACAGTAGATAATGAAATCTTGGTCGAACCTCCTGGCCATTGTCTGTATCCCTCATGCCTTTTTCAGCAGAAGGTTAATATGTGACCCAGTTAATACAGATTTCAATTTACAAACTCAATCTTGAAAAACAAAAGTCTAGCTCTTTAACTGACCCTGTTTCCCTTGATGTCTCGATACCTTTTCTTTTTTCCATTCTCAACACAGAGATTAGAACTGTGTAGTAGAAAGCCCAGAGTGAATTTGGCAATTATGAAAAATTGCAATAAGTTGATCTTTCCTGTAAAAGCTA